CATAATCAGCTACTATCGCAGCGATGGATATTTTCTGACATATGACAAATAACGTTAATGATAACCACACGTCGGTCACCACACGCCCAGCATCGCTGCGAGTAGAGCGCTTCGGTAAGTGGTCACGCGCGCCGTGAGAGATGGTCCGTCGAGAAAACGACAAACCAGTGCCCGCCCGCCCTGCCGCCCGCCCGCGCGTCTCCTCACCTCTCCTTGGCGACGACGATGCCCAGCAGCTGGTCCTCGAGTCCCTCGGGCGTGATCATGAAGTTGAGCAAGGTGACCTTCGTCGACAGCTCGGGCAGGTAGTGCGGGTTGCGCAGCTTCGTCGTCACGTAGAAGCGGAAGTCGCGGCTGTACTCGATCACGCTCTCGCCGAGCCGGATCATCTCGGCGCCACCTGGCGAGGGAAAATGTCACACGGGTCGGACGGCGGTTTTCGTTGGATGGAGGGATCGCGTGGAGCAAGGAGGTTTTTGAATCGAGGACGATTTCAAGCGTGCCGTTAAATATGTACGCTACATTTTTTAATGTTTATCTATGTTTTTTTTTATCTTATCGTGATGATAGATTGAGTTGCACTGATTTATGTTGCATGATGTTCATCCATACCAGGTCTTGGTCTCACCCAAACTTCCACGTCTAAACTGGTGACTCATCAATACATTTCTTGGTCTCGTTTAAACTTTCAAGTCTAAAAAAATCACTGCAAAACTCGTACGCGCACACCGCACTACACACGCATAAGTCACTCGAGAATTTGCATTAATTTCAAAATAATCGACCCCAAGCTATGCTGGCAGGTGCGACACAATCGCAGACATGCATACACACGCAGAACAGCAGATTTCTATTATTTCTCTGTGTTACAGCAAGTAGCAGTTTATGTACGTGCATGTGGCAGTATATGTGGTCGGACGATTGTGAGAGAGAAGATGGACTTAACCATTTCGTCTCAAATCTCCGATTAAGCTGCAAATCATTACTCACCCCTTCCTTCATTACTCCCCGCATGAAACAGTATTAGCGATTAATGCCAGCATAAACATATGTAGAGAAAGTATATGTATCTGTACATATGTTCATGATATATAGAGCTGGAACCAACATAATTTAAGTGGCGTTTCAGAGCCTCTAGCAGCTAGTCCAACACAGCTTAAAACAGCCAGCCATGCACGTTTCAATAATTTAACATTTTGTCGGTCCACAGCATTTTACTGCAACAATTAAACGCATCAAATTAAAAAAGCAAAACGCAAAGAGATCTAGCAACTTTTAACAGCTTTCGCTAACCGCCATCTTCCCAGGCTGGCTTCAAATTGGTATATACTGGAAGAAAGAGACAACATGATGGCTGTGGACGGAGAAGAAGATAGAGGAATCGCGCATGGGCTACCGACGATCGCCAAGCACTCCTCGATCCTGTTCTTCTCGACAGCCGACCTTGCAACATCGATCCCATGTACCAGTACTCGCTGACGTGGTTCGTCAACCTTTACATCAACTCTATCCACGAGAGGTGAGACACGTGCTGACACCCACCGCCTGTGCAACGTTGGCAATATGACGTTGGGCCAACGTTGGCGCGCTGATCATGAGCAAAAATCCGTTGGGCCAACTTTGGCAGCCAACGTTGGCATGTTATATCTGGGATATATATAATCAAGAGTAGGTAATAACACGTACATGTGTTATTATCTACTCTTGATATAATATATCCTAATAGGAATTTACCTGTAGTTATCTGTAATTGATTATAAATGCCTTGTGGGTGTGTGATTTGTTACCTGATGGGGAGGTGATGAGTATATAGCAGCATCTGCAACCATTGTAATGGTGTTGGACGGTGGGTAGGCAGTAGATCGCACATTATTATTATTTTTTTATATATATGTTATGAGTTATATTCACATTTATGTGATAACACGCAGTGGCCGTTGTCACTACTGTAGCACAGATTATAACAAGGTACTCTGCTGTCAGTGAGAGAACCATAG